CCCCCCCCCACCCCCCCACTCACCGCCAGCAAAGCAAACGACTCCCGGTCCCTACCACCGTCCGCATCACATCCCCCGCTGTTGTTCCCAGCGCCACTGCACCACTGTCGCACTGCCCCCGCTGTCCCCGCCACTGTTCCCACCACGGTTCCACTCTCCCCACTATCTCCACGGCCCCAACCACTGCCCGACTATCCCCACTGTCCCCACTGTCCCACTGACTCCGCCGCTGTCCCACTGAGCTGTCCCACTGTTCCCACCTCATTCCCACTGTGCCCACGCCACTGTCCCCACCACCACCGTCCCCACCACTGTCCACTGTCGCCCCTGTTCCCACCATTGTCCCCGCCACTGTCCCCACCACTACCGGCCCTCTACTGTCCCACTGTCCCACTGTCCCCACCACTGCCCCGCTGTCCCCTCACCACTGTCCCCACCAACACCGCCCCCACCACTGTCCGCACCCCCGTTCAGTTTTCGAGGGGGGGGGGGGGGGGCTTGCTCGAACCGGTAGTGACCCCCCCTTTTTCATGATGAACTGGGGGGGGGGGGGGAGGGGCTCGAACCGGCAGTGGCCCCCCTCGGTTTTCAGGAGGGGGGGGGGGGTTCGAACCGGCGGTGGCCCCCCCCCGGTTTTCCGCCAGCAGCGGTAGAACACGCTCTTTCCGATCTTCGGATCTAGGATCCAAGGCGCCCAGAGACGCAAGGCGCCGAGATCTCTGATCCCCGATCCGAGGATGGAGGATCGAGCCTCCTCGATGGCGGCCTGAGCGCCCGAGGACGGCGAGGGGGGCGATCTACTATCCCCGAGGCTCGGTCCTCGAGCTTCGGATATCGAGCCCGAGACCTTCGAGTCCAAGCTTGGCGACCCTCGGGTCTAGGATCCGGGGTGCTCGCAGATGCTCAAGACCAAGATCTCGGACCCTCGATCCGAGGATGGAGGGTCGAGCCTGCTTGGTGGCAGTGTTGGCCCGAGGACGGCGACGAGGGCGATCTACCATCGCCGATGCTCGGTCCTCGAGCCTCCGATGTCGAGCCCGAGAACTTCGAGTCCAAGCTTGGCGACCCTCGGGTCTAGGATCCGGGGTGCTCGCAGATGCTCAAGACCAAGATCTCGGACCCTCGGTCCGAGGATGGAGGATCGAGCCTGCTTGGTGGCAGCGTTGGCCCGAGGACGGCGACGAGGGCGATCTACCATCGCCGATGCTCGGCCCTCGAGCCTCGGATGTCGAACCCGAGAACTTCGAGTCCAAGCTTGGCGACCCTCGGGTCTAGGATCCGGGGTGCTCGCAGATGCTCAAGACCAAGATCTCGGACCCTCGATCCGAGGATGGAGGATCGAGCCTGATCGGTGGCAGCGTGGGCCCAGGGGCGATGACGAGGGCGATCTACAATGATCGTGAACCCGAGATCTTCGAGTCCAAGTTTGGCGATCTTCGGATCTAGGATTCAAGGTGCTCGCAGATGCTCGGGCCCCAAATCTCGGGTCTTCGATCCGAGGGTGGAGGGTCGAGCCTGCGTGATTCCTCGATGCTTGATCGAGGGTCGCTCGGCGAGAGGGGGGGGGGGGGGGGGGGGGGGCCCCCCCCCAGCTTGGAACGCCACTCGCGCGTGCTCGGACGATCTCTTGGAGCTTGAAAAGCAGATTGTGCTCGAGCGTGCGCCTCGAAACGGCGCCCTCGTAGCGACAAACATGGGGGCGCTTGGCGCGGGGCGCTTGCGCACCATGCTCTCAGGCGTCCACGAGCATGAACGAGGCGGCCTCTGGCTCGGCCTTCGCGTCGGCCTGGCCCCTTCTCGTCCTCGCGCTTGTTCGTGGCGGCAAGGTCGTAATCGGCGTGGATATTGGCTAAAGTATTGAACTTCACCTTGCTGTGCATGTCGAGAAGCTTTGTCTCGAACTCCTGCTACTCGATGGTTTTCGAGTAGTCCAGCTTGGCGCGCTTGTCCTGGTAGCCCCGCTCCTGGAGCTCGCAATTCATGTCAGCTGTCCTCTTGGCGGCCCAACACCACATGACGAGCGCTCGCGCGGTGGCCTTGGCGGCCCCGTCACTGCTCGAGACCAAGGCGCGCTCGAGGCACCACTTGGCGCATTGCTTGGCCTTGCTCAGAATCAACTCGAAGAGCTGCTCGGCATTGCCGGAGTGCCCCTCGCCCCACTGCTCGGCGGGCTCGAATTTCTCGTTGATCGGCAGCAGTCGGTCGTGGTGGTGGACGAGCTCGGCGGAGATGTCTGGGGGGGGGGGGCTTGCCGACGCGCTCGGCGTAGGAGCCGTGGGTGAGGCCCTTGACGCTCTTTGCGCCGCGCTCGATGTCCTTCTTCTTGGCAAGCTCCTGCATCTTGGCCTCGAAGCCCGGCAGGAACCAGGAGAGGTCCTCGGGCGGCTCTCCGCGGTCCTGGAGGATGCCGCATACGTGCTCGTCACCCTCGCAGTCGGTCTTCTAGAACAGCGCCACGGCCAGCTCGATGCGCCTCTCGCCCTTATCGTTGAAGATGTGGCCGCACTCGGTACTCTTGAAGGACCCGCCGTTGTAGACCTTCTCGAGGACGGCTTGCTGGGCGCTACTTGACCACGAGGCGCTCTCGGCCTTGGACAAGCAGGCCGTCATCCTCGCTGCATCCGTACCTTGCGCGCTCGATTGGCACTGGCGCGTCTCGGCGATCGCAATCTTCTCCGCGATGAAGCACAGCTTGTCGCGGATCTTCTCGTTCTGCTTGGCCATGCGCTCGAGAATCTCGTTCGAGCTCGGGCTCGGGTCGGGGCCGCGACGTTCCTGAGGGCCCCGACGGGGAGGCTCGCCGCCGCGGCGCGCTCGGCGGGCTGGGACATCGTTGGGGCTCGCGACGCACTGAGGGGCAACGATGTGCGGGGATAGGCACTGGGGGGGGGGGACATCGACGTGGGTGGAATCGGCGATTCATCGCCGATGCATCGGCGATGCGCGCCCGATCGTGAATCCGCACGTTCCCGGGCAGGTTCGGCATGCCTTTCCCCCCCTATCGCTGCCCCTGCGGCGAAGAGGCTCGGCGCCTCGAAGGGGCTCGAACGCTTGGAGTATTGGAGACTCGGGGAAGCTCGGGCCTGGGCAGATTAGGGGGAGGAGGAGGAAGAGGAGGAGAAGGAGGAAGGACCACGAACCGTGTGAGGAATGCGCTAGAAAAGTAATTAAGTCCAACGCTCTGCCTGGTCGGAAAACGCATGTACAATTAAAACCAAATCGGTCACCATGGCCCTGCCACGCGTGCCTGACTCGGAACGGTTGAGAACGTGATCGTGCCATGGCCTTGCCGCATGTTCGTAACTTGGGCAAATTAAACTGGTAAGAATCCCACAACCCTGCCACACGCTCGTGATTGCGGACGCTGGTGTGGTGAGACCACCGTGGCCATGTTCAGCGTTCTTGATGATGTTGCTAACCAACATGAGACGATAGCAATTTCGATTCGCAACTTCCCCCGTGGATTATAAGGTTCGGCCTCCGCGCCGATCTTCACAATTAAACCCTGTTGGACGGGGGGTTAAAAATCGAGGGCAAAAGGGGGGGTAGGCTTTATTACCGTCCGCGCGCGGTGAGAAGGCTCGGACCTTGTTTTTAAATGTGAGGCCAGCGCCCTCAAAGAAACAGCCTCTTTCCAAGGAGCCCCCACCCCTCCCCTACAACCTTGTGCCGGCCGCCAAACGGAGCAGACCCGTCGCGCCGCGGCTGGATACGCCTCGGAAGCTTGTCCATAACGCGCCCCGGAGGGATCCGGGAAGTGGCGGCCTGGATTTGTGTTTTTGGAGTCTTTGTCAGAACACACGTCGGATCATGACTTTAGCCTTGATCGCCAGAAAGAATCTCGAGCACCAGAAAAGTGCCGAAACTCGAGGGTTTTCACGTGTCGGGCCCTGGGAGTCACTCAACCGGCACTGCTTCAGCACTGTTGCGACCCTTTTTTCCGGGTGCTCGAAATTATTTTTGGGATGTGGCCTTTCAGTTCGATGGGAGCAACATAAACCTCGGAGGGGTATACGGGGAGTGTCGGTGTCGGTATCTTGATGCCGCGGCTCCTGGGCGCTTGGTGTGTCCCTGGGATGCCGTCACTCAGAGTGCGCTGGCGTGCGCTAGCGTCTGGCATTCAGTCGGGCCTGTCCCTCAACCGGGGGAATATTCAAATATCCAAAAATAATTGTTTTAACAATAGTCTGGGGACATGCCCGACCTCAGTCTGGCAATCGATGAGAAAGAAAGCGCCGATCTAGCGTCGACCCGAGTCGATCAGCGTCGATTTTGCGTCTCTTCGCGCCGATTGACGCCCATTTGCGTCGGTCAGCGTCGATTCGCAAGAGCCGGCAAGATGGCATGGAGGAAGGCTCCCATCAGTGGCCACACATGGCGCGAGGGGAGCGCCCTTCCGACCCATTGCGGCAGCCTCCGGTCGCGTTGCTCATGGATGGTATGGGGTTCTCCCAAGGCGGGTCAGGGAACATTGTCCTTTTTACACGGGCCGTTTTTAGCGATGTTTCTCTAACCCTACCCCTGCCCCTGCCCCATCTGTACGCCCCCCCCGATGTGCGCGATGGCTCAGCATGCCGCAGCACACATAACACAGAATCCCCGATCCAGCACTAGGCCGGGTCCAACGCTGGACTCGGTTAGGAAATCTACGAATCAAGGGCGGTCCCAAGTTGTGCATGGCCTGCCCCTGGAGCGCGTCGGCATTGGGGACAACTTCGAATCAGCCACGCCGCCTGGGCTCAAACTTGGCAACCAGGTGTACCAAGATGTGCCAACTTGTTCCGGCCAGGGCACCGCAGCGTGGGGCAGGCCGCAGCACGTGCAGTCACGTGTCTTGTCGTGTCTTGCTTCGCCTTCTCGGATCATCACTTCGAAGTTCTGGCGGCAACGTGTTGCCAGCGTCAGTTGCCCCATGTTGAGCTCCTTGCGGCGGCGATGTTCACCATGCGCCGATTCGGTCATTTCATGTCACTGCATCTTCCCCTCTGCCTCTGGACGAGGTGCTGGACATGGTCGCTCGAGGTGGAGAGGATGCGCAGAAGGCGCGGTCGCTCAGCTCTTGATGAGAAGGAGGGGGTGGAGGAGGGGAGGCGACCTATCGACCTTCCCTCGAATGGGCTCACTGAACGAATCGAGAAGCACGTGGGGAAGTGCATGCCATATTTAGGCGGCACTCCCCTGCTGAGCCATCTCAATTTCTTCACGCTTCGCGTTTTCCGACCAGCCCATTCAGAAACGTTGCCGATGAGATTTGACGGGAAGCGGGCGGAAGAGATCTTGAAACTATGCTTTGGTGGTTTGCCTTCGTCAGGGAAGTGTGGGAGAGTTCAGTGGAACATCTGCCCAGAGGGGTACGAGCGGGAGCAGCAGGAGGACGAAGAGGACGAGGACGAAGAGGAGAAGGAACAGGAGGACAAGCACGAAAACGAGGAGGAGGAGGACGAGGACGAGGAAGAAGACGACGAGGACGAGGGGAGGACAATGAGGAATATTAGGAACATCCTGAAGATGACTAGGACGAGGAGGAGGAGACGGATGAGGAGACGGATGATGATGAGGAGCAGGAGGGCGAGGATGACGACGACGAGGACGAGGACAAGGACCCGGGCAGCCATCTTGGGGTCTTCTTGATGTTTGTTTGGCGTCCTCGTTTGGTTATCTCGGGGCCCTTTTTGGGGGGGTCGTGGGGTCCTTTTGGGAATCTCTTTGGGGGGTTTTGTGGCCCTCTTGGGGCCGTCCTTGGAGCCCTGGAGGGCCTCTTGGGGACATCTTGGAGGCCATCGATCAAAGGAGGGGATGCCCCTGATGTCCGTCCCCCATCTGGGGCCCTCAAGATTGCATCGTGCTTCGTGAAGCGATATAGGGTCGCTACTGGGCCGATGTTAGGCGCTCTTGGGCCGTCTTGGGGGACTTCTTGGCCTCTCTTGGGGCTCTCTTGGGCCATGTTGGGGCCATCTTGAGACTTCAAAGCTTATCGGACGCGAAACAGCGAAAAGGCAAACATCATTGATATTCGTAAGGTGCTTGAATGATGTTGGCCTCTTAAGGGGGGTCCTGAGGAGGCCCTGGAAGCACGTGGTGCCGTCATCCGATTCTCTACGGGCTTTTGGAAAGCATGCCAGAAGTTCTCTCGAAGCATGTTCGGCTATCGTGAGCCATTTTGGAGGCCATCTTGGAGTAACGCACGCCCATTTGGAGCCATCTTTGGGTATCTTGGACGCTCTAACCCCTCGCGAAGCCCCCAACAAATCTCAGTGAGGGAGGGGCAGGGTACCCATCCCCGAAGGGAAGAGGGGATTCAGAAGAGGAAAGAGAACTCGTTAGACCACCTACGCCCGGAGGGCTGGTGGGATTGGGAGGGGTTGGTGAGGAGGGAGGGGGGAGAAGGTGGGTGGGGGAGGCGTGGGCGGGTGGGACAGGGGAGGACTGACGAAGAATGAGGCCGCCAGGCCCGTTGGCAGACCAATGAATCTTGGAGCCCATGGGGCGCTCTGCCAGTTCATCCTGCATCCTCCTCCCTCCTCCATCATCGTCGTCCTCCGCCCATCTCCTCGATCTCATCTCCTTCCTCCGTCCTCCCACCCTTCCCCCTTCCCGTTCTCTCGCCTCCTCATCTTCTTAGTCTCCCCTTCGGAAGTCTCGGGAAGTCCCAGAGGCCTCCAGAGGCTGCTGGTGGCTCAGAAAGAATCGAAATCGCGTCCGAGCATTTTGATTATCGCTCCTTCCCCTCCCCTCCCACCCACCCTCTCTTGGCCTCCTCCGCGCCGCAGAGGCGGGGTCTTGGTTCACGGCGCTACTGCTGTTCGTGATCCTGCCGTTGTGGGGTAAGATGCTCCTGGCGGGCATCCCGCAGGGATGATGAGGAGGAGGAGGAGGAGGACGAGGAGGAGGTAGAGGAGGCGGGGAGGGGGGGGGAGGGCAGGGAGGAGGAGGCGTGCGCAGGGGGGATCGAAGAAGAAAGGCTGCACAAGCACAAGATTTCGACGGTCCGCGCGGAATTGTTGGATCAGTACTAGGCCCTCCTGGGGGCCGCCTCCAGGGCCGCCCCTGGCGCGCTCCGCGGGCCGGTGGAGGGGGTCAGCGCCAATCCAAGACATCCGCGCGGACCTCCGACAGTTGATGTTTGCGTAAGGCGGGGGGGCAGGAGGTGCAGGGCACGCGCACGGCACACCCTCCTCACCTTTTTTTTGACGTTGCGCATACATGTGTCGGAGATCGTTGCGCTATTCGCGACGTGCAAATAAATTGCCGACTTAGGCGAGACGCAAACAAATTAAGCAGGTGGTTTGTGCTGCGGGCAAAGACAGGAACAACAGAAAGGCAGCGCAGAAGGAGGCCAACAACAGCGCAGGGTAAGCGCCCGCCACCTGCGCTGGAGCAGGTACTGAGGTACATGAGAGGCCCTCCTCCTCCTCCTCCTCCTCCTCCTCCTCCTCCTCCTCCTCCTCTTCCTACTGCTCCTGCTCCTCCTCCTCCCCCTCCGCCTCTTTCTCCTCCTTCTCCTCGTTCTCCTCCTCCTCCTCCCCCTCCTCCTCGCGAGCATCGATTCACAGTGGTTCGGTAGAACACCGCAGTTCCCTCACACCAAGAGGGAGCAGGGCGGTGTGGAGACGCCAGTCCAGCGGACGATCCTGATCGCCTTTCGATTCAGCCTCTATTGTTATCTTGATGATGCCAGGAATTAGACCTTATCGTAGTATCAACTTTGGGCATCGGCGCTGCGCGCTGTTTGCACTTGGCGGTACGGCAGCATGCACTTTTCATGGGAGGCTGATCGCAAGGTCGTCTACCCCTTACGGTCACTGTCGATGTACAAGCGCGACGGGCTCCTGGAGATTGCTCTTGGAGCTAGGCCGCGTACGAGAGCCTTTCTTCGGGGTGGCGGCTGGGAGTGGAGATGCAGAGCCACGGGCCGACCACCTCATCTGATGGAGGTAGGCCCCAGGGCGGGTTGGATGAAAGGTCAACAACAATTCACCAGCTGGATTTGCGAGCAGTTGCGACTACCGGTGTGTGGATGGGGCCAGAGGGATACGCTGGGAACCATGTGCTACGACGGGGGTGTCCGTCACGACGGGGGGCGGGAGACGGAAGTGGGAAGTCGCGTCCAGTGCTTCGCCAACCATGTCTTCGGCCTTTGGCCTCGGGCCCACAACGGAAACGACCAATGGAAGCTTTCTGGCTTCGAGGTGACCCTGATCCGTCGACGCAGCCTTTTTTTGAGCAGGGCGGCGATCTCTTTGAGACTATCCCTTGCCAGGACGAATCTTCAGATTTGCAGGGGTTGGACCGAGGGTTGGGATCAAATGCGAGGTGAGACAACGCGCGGCCATGATAAAGGATCCTACCGACAACAGTTACTTCTGCGGCAGGCGTCTGATATGCTTGTGCACTACATATTCATATCCCAAGCCCGAAGCCCGACCTAAATCTAATATCCAAGACCCGACACCGAGCTGTTCTGAGGGGGAGGAACAGTAGGGGAGGCGCGCCGTTTAGACCATCCGTCTATCGCACTTGCTATGTTTCTACATCTTGCGATTCGGCCGAAGCCGAGGCAGGATTTCTGACCAGGGGGGTGCTAGTTATATATTTTTTGGGGCGCCAATTCGAGGGATTATGGGTATCGCAGCACCATCGTCAAGCACAACATCCGTTGCCGTAGGTCTCCCGAGGATTAGGTTACGGCAGCTAATCTAGCATAGCCATCGGGAAAACAACGTGAACATGTATTCTACATTCAGCAATCATGCAGATTGGCGTGGTCATTGTATTGCAGGTGTCCGATGCCGATCCACAGCCTGAGGACAGACTACTCAAGAGGAAGCGAGGAATCAATATTATGGAGGAGGAACAGGAGCAGGATGAGAACAACGACGACGACGCCGTGGAAGAAGGGGGAGGAGGAGCAGATACAGGAGGAGGGTGGAGACGAACACCCCAGTTGTGAATGCACAACCGTAGAAGACATGATTGGGTAGCGCTGTGAATGTTCCGAGTCGCCATGGCCACTTTGTGTTCAAGGTGTTCACGCTGGCGCTCGCGACCTTCCCGCCCGCCCACTCCATTAATGGGCCACTGGGGTTTGCTGCTGCCGTGCACAACCTCATCTCAAGGCGTTACCTGTCAGCGTCGCGCTGATTAGCTTCGCTAAAGGGTGCCACGGCTTGTTGGCTGTCAGCAACATTTTGTTCAGCTTCACCAGGTTCGCTCCGCGGGATCGTTGTCAGTGAACCGGTACTCGGTGAACCGCCCACGTGTGTTGGTGGTCAGCCTGACGTTGTTTCACCTCACCCCGGCTCCTGGGAGCTAAATTGATGTGTGGCCCCTTGTGGGTGAAAATTCCCATGACGCATCTTAGTTAATGTCACTGCCCCCCCCCTGCCTTGCCTTGCCTTGGTGGGGTCCGCCGAAGCAGATTATGAGGGAGGAGAGAAGAAAGAAAGAATTTGAGGGGGGCGAGAAGGGAGCGGTCAGGTGGTCGGCATCTGCCACGCCGACCCCCACCCTGGGAACTTCAAGGTTGGTGGGGGGGGCTGCTGCAGGGGCGAGTCATGTAGAGAAGGATCGAAGGTTGAGGGCGAGGAGGTGGACGGTCAATGGTCGCTGTCTTTGGACGTTTTCCGGCCTCACCAGATGCAGGAGGCGGGACGAGGGAGGGAGGAGGAGTAGGAGGATGAGGAGGAGGAGGAGGAGGCGGGGGAGGAGGAGGAGAAGGTGTGGTAGGAGGCGGAGAAGAACGGGAGAAGCCATTGATTACAGCATTCATTCAGCACATCATTGGTTTCGGGGAAGCGTCTGGTGCCGTCTCTTCGGTGTCGGGCAGGCTCATCGTGCCTGGGCCCTTGAGGTGTGGAGAGGCGCCTGGTGCCCTTCCGCGCCCACCCCGGACGAGGAGGAGGAGGAGGAGGGGAGGAGGAGGAGTTGGAGGAGGAGGAGGAGGGGGAGAGGAGGACGTTGAAGAGGAGGAGGAGGAAGAGGAGGAGACCCCGTCCCGCACACGGGGACTTCGCAGTCCCCCTTCTGGTGGGGAGGCGGGCGTGTGCGGCCCGCCCCTCCCACTGACGATCTCGCGTCCTCGTACCCCACAAGGTGCACATACGGCAGGTTCGTCGTCCGCTTTCGGCATCGGTTTCTGATGCCGCGGGGATCGTTCAACCTGGAACGATCGGCCATTTCCGAAACGTCCAAATCGTTCCACATCGAACGATTCTGGGTCGCCCGCGGCCTTCAAAATTGAAAGGCGCTGGCGGGGTCGCCGCCGGTCGACACGACACGAACCTACCGTCGAAGATCAGCGCGTGAGCTGATCAGGTGCGCCAGGGCCTGGGCCGATTGGTGCCCCTCCCTTGGGTGGGGAGCCCTGTGATGGCTCCTTCCACGGTGGGAGCGCTCGGCCCGATGGTAGCTGTCGCTGACCTCCCTCGGTCAGCTCTGAGGGTGCCTCTGCTTCCGTGACCGCGGCCGCGCCCTATGGTGGTTGCGGTTCCTATTGCGTCGTGAAGAGTCGTCCCTTGGGCCTGGCATCGCGGCGGCCGACGGATGTCTACGTCACGTTGGTGTCGGAGCATGCCAGCCTTTGGGCAGACACTCGCACGTCTCTCGCGGGCGATACGGGGCGAGGGAGGCACGAGAGGACAACGAGAGGGTAGGCAGGGGAGCGACGGACAAGAGGACACGCTCTCACACACACGCCGCTCCCCCTGGAAATCTATGATTTCATTGAGGTTACGGCGAGGCAATAGACGACTGGCAGGGGATGCAAATCCCGTTCACGGTCCTGTATGAAGACGCCATCGAGTACAGAATTCACGGAACACATGAATGAGTGAATACATGATTCCAGCGTGCACCAGAGAAGAAACCCCAATCAGTAGATTGTTAAAACAAATCGTGATTTGGATATTGAGATTGATTGTGAGGTCGATAATGAGACCGATCGTGGGATCGATTGTAAGGACGATAGTATGGTCGATCGTGAGACCGATCGTGAAGTCGATTCAGAGATCGATCATGAGATCATTCGTGCGATCTGTAGTTGGATCGATTCTGAGATCAATAGAGAGGTGGGTAGGGAGATCGATGGTGAGACCGATCGATAAGGAGATCGACCAAGAACCTGGACACCCAGGAATCCCGCCGCCCACCGAAATCGGTCTGGAACCGGGAACCCGGAACCTAAAACCCGGGAACCCGGCCGCCTACCGAAATCGGCCAGGCATTGTTGACAATTTTGTAAATCTCCGCTAGGACCCCTTTAGTGCAAGCACAGATCGAATATGCGTACGATGCAGCATATCGTTGGGGTTGGAAAGGCGGATGGTGCCGTCCCTTTGGTGTCGGGCAGGTTTGTGGTGCCTGGATCTTTGAGGTGTGAAATGGTGTATGGTGCCTTTCCGGGCCCACCTGGGACGAGGAGGAGGAGGAGGAGGAGGAGGAGGAGGAGGAGGAGTTGGAGGAGGAGGAGTTGGAGGAGAGGAGGAGGAGAAAGAGGAGGAGGAGGAGGAGGAGGAGGAGGAGGGAGGACGGGGGAGAGGGCGACGTTGAAGAGGACGAGGGGGAGGGAGGAGGAGGAGGAGGAGGAGGAGGAGGAGGAGGAGGAGAGGAGGAGGAGGAGGAGAGAGGACGAGGAGGAGGAGGAGGAGAGGAGGAGGAGGAGGAGGAGGAGGAGGAGGAGGAGGGGGGAGAGGGCGACGTGAAGAGGACGAGGGGGAGGGGAGGAGGAGGAGGAGGAGGAGGAGGAGAGAAGGAGGAGGAGGAGGAGGAGGAGGAGGAGGAGGAGGAGGACGAGGACGAGGAGGAGGAGGAGGAGGAAGAGGAGGAGGAGGAGGAGGAGTTGTGCACACCTACCCGCCCCTATCGGACGTCTCCTCTTCCGAGCGCCGAGCGTTTTCGGACAGGGGGAGGGCCGAGCTGTCTGGCACCGCCAATGGCGTGCTCGATGCCGCCCGGCGGCACAGTGGGACCGGTGATACACTGCACTGCACGGCACGCCGATCCCAACAGGTGCGCGGCGCCGACCTCGCCGCGGGCTTTCAAGGGTGCACGCCGCAAGGGGCCCAGAATCGGTCAACATGGAACGATCTGGCGGTCGAGAAGTCGCCGATCGTTCAAGGCTGACCGATCCACGCGGTGTCAGATATCGACACCGGGGTCGCCACGGCACGAACTTGCCTCAGGGCAATGTAGTTTGGGTTTTTTTCGCGGCGCGAGGGACTTCATGGACCAGTGTGCCACATGTCCTCGAGTAGCGAGGCTCAAACGCAGATTTCGCTGCGTCCCTGGCGTGAAGCATCGCTGGGGACAACGAGCTATGCCTGGCGGGATGTTCCACACTTGCTGTTTTCAGAGCGACCAGGCACTGCCGCCGACACGTGATCTGACGATTTGGGGCGCCGGTGCGACACGAGCGCGGCTAGCCACGATAGTTTGATACGGGTCTTTGGCAACCGCTGGCGGTTCCCAGGCTCCACCCGATGACGGATGGTTGTTCTTGCTCGTTGGTTTTCCGTTCCATGTTTCGGGCGTTTGTTCCGTAAAGTGTCTCGTGTGTTCCGTTGTCTTCTCATAGTCTCGGTAAGGTATGGTTGTGGGTTGTGCTTCATGTTCTTCAGTCATGTCTGATAATGTCTCCTTCCCCTCAGGCATCGGTTTGCTGACTGTGATTGCATGTTGCAGGACGGTGCGCATGGCGATGCCGATATTCCTGGCGAGCTCGTGTCTCACCATGTGGGCCCGCCTGGTGGCACCTCGCTGTGATGTATGCCCCGTTGATGGCGCAGGAGAAGTGCGGGGTCCTGTAGAATTCGTGAGGGCGTTGAGAGAGGAGGGAGGGAGGAAGAAGGGAGGATGAGGGAGTGAGGGAGGGAGGACGGAGGGAGTGAGGGAATGAGGGAGTGAGGGAGGGAGGAGAGAGGAAAGTAAGGGTGTGAGGGAGGAGGGAGGGAGGGAGGGAGGGAGGGACGTCATGGGGGACTGAGGAAGGGAGGAAGGGAGGAAGGAATGAGGCAGGGAGGAAGGAGTGAGGCAGGGAGGGAGGAGGGAAGAGGGGGGAGAAGGGGCGCTTTGCGGCGGCAAGTCATGGGAGCCTTGTATGCCCTCGCAGTTTTGTCTCGAGTGCACCAGCGTGCGCCAGCGTCTGGCAATCGAGGAGGGCGTGCCGATCCAGCGTCGACCAGCGTCGGCGAGCGTCAAGCCGCAGGGATCCCGCAGGGTGGCACTGGCTGCTCCCATGGTTTGCCACCGAATGGGGAGGAGGCAGGATACGCGCTGTGAAGAGGTGGAGGAGGAGGAGGAGGAGGAGGAGGACGAGGAAAAGGATCAACATCATCGAGCGCGCTCCGCTACTCGCAGGGTGGCTAAGTACTCGCAAACGTCCGAAAAGCACGTGTCTTCTTCGATGTAAGTTATCGCAGGTCCCCCGCGGCGGATCCGGGTCATTTGCGAGCAATTACTTTGCGGGTAGTGGAACGAGCTCGTCTACAGCAGCAGGAAACCAGCGGGGGGGGGGGCAGGGCAGCGCGAGGTGCGCGAGGGGCACGCGAGGGGCATCGCTGCCCGCCCCCCCCCCTGCGAGCGGCGCGGCCAGATCGAAGGCATCCCGGGCCTGCTCGAAGAGGAGCCCCTCGGCGTCGCCGTCGCCGTCGTTGTCGTCCCCGGGCCTCCCCGGCGAAGCGAGGAGCTCGCGCCATTTGTTTTGGTTACGGTTCTCCCTCGTGAGGCTCTGGAACAAAGGGTCTGGAGTTCGCTCCCCGAGGCACTGCATTGGTTCGGCGTCTGCACGCGTACATATATTCTTGCATGGTTGTTTTCAGGTATGTCTTCAGCATGCCATTTGCTGCCGATGCAGCGTCAGGGCGCGGCTCTTGCCTGCCTGCCCGGCCCCCGCGTGAATGGGGGGCTGCTCCTCGGCTCCAGGGCCGTCGAGACGCGACCCGGGGTGGGGAGCCGGTCTGGGGGAAGGGGTCGAGGCCGTCCGAGGGGGGGGGGGGACCAGGGGAGATAGCATGGCCAGAGCCATGCAATCGCTCCGGATTTCATGGCCCCCGCATTCTTCATTCAACACGCCTGCTGCCCCCCCCCCCCTCCCCCCCCCCGCGGGCCGCACGCGTGCCCTGATTTGTGAAGCCCCTTCTTGGACGCTCCCGGGAGCGGTCGGGCTAGGGAGACCGCTGATTGACACAGCATGACGCCGGGGTATCGGTCGACGCTGTCGGCATCGACACTCGCGTTGGCAGCGTCCGTGTCCTACGTCGTCTTGCAACCGCGTTGGCGTCGTCCGCGTCCTCTGTCTCTCGCTCTCTCTCTCTCTCTCTTTCTCTCTATCTTTCCTTCTTGCTCTCTCGAGGAGCCTCCTCCTCCTGACGGTGTCGCTGTCGGCATCGGTGTCACGGTTGATGTTGCCGCCCCTCATCCCTTGCCATTTTCTTTTTCTTCCCCATTCCTTCTCATTGTTCCATCCTCATTTTCATCCCCGTCTCGTGTGCATCTTCCCTCCCACCCAGTTCCCTCCCTTCCTTAATCTCAAGGGATGAGCCACCCGGATGGAGGCCAAAACCAACATTTGGGAGATGTTGGTGGCTCTCTGAGCTAGGATTGTTGTAGAGGCTACTCACTGTCTACGTTTAAGCTTTGGGCGATCGTGCCAGGGAGAGGAGCCCGACTCCTGGTGCTGCCACAACCTGGGTCAAATCTCCGTGTTGGTAGAACGTCATTCTCATGAATGGTTTTCATCGACCAGGTGCTAATCCTTACAGCCTGTCGCGCCTTCAGTTGCTAGGACTTCACTCCCGGGATTGATTTTGATCAACAGGGCGCAGCTCATCCCTTTGATCATTTTTTCCAGAGTTCAGTTGGTGGGCCTGATTTCAGCGTTCAGGGCAAGTTGTCAAGTGTCTCGTGCTTCTCGCACAGCCAGAACACTTTGCCTGGGATTGGTTAGGGTGTCTGAAGCCAACTGTCCGGCGATTCGTGTTTTTCCAGTTGCCAGAGCTCAACCGCAGCACCATCTCCAGCCCATGTCCAGCTCAAGCTTTAGTTCCAGCCGCAGCTCCAGCTCTAGTTCCAGCTCAAGCTCCAGCTTCACCACCAGCCCCAACTCCGGCCCCAGCTCCAGTCGTAGCCCAGCTCCAGCTCCAGCCCAAATCCAGCTCCAACCCCATCTCCAGGTCTGGATCCACCTCAAGCTCCAGCCCCATTTCCAGCCCTTGCCTCAGCTCAGCCCGCAGCTCCAGGCCCAGCTACAGTCAACCCGGATTGAAAGGATGGGCAACCTTCCCAAGGGTACCGTATACCTTTGCACTCTCGCCTCCTCGGTCCGTCCTTCGCCACCTTCGTTGGCCGCGCCCCGCTCGAAAAGCTTCGAATTGGGCGTCCAAGGCCCTTGCGTCGTTATCGCGCATCCTTGTGATACGGGCCGACTGTACATCCCCGGCGCAAGTCCCAGCGCCAGGTCCAGCTCCAACCCAGCTCCAGGGTCCAGGGTCCAGGTTCTCGCTCCGGCCCAGGTTCGGCTCCAGCCCCTGCTCCCAGATCAGATCCAGCCCCAGCTCCAGCCCAGGCTCAGCCCCACGAGTAGGCAGGGTAGAGCAGGGCAGAGTAGGGTAGATGATGTAGTAGACTCGGGAGGGTAGGGTAGAGTCGGGCAGAATAGAGGAAAGCAGAGCAGAGTATATCCTTGTTGATGAGAGGAGAGGAAGGTACACCAGAGTGGCCCCGGCGTAAACATGTAAAGTAGGGGACAGTAGAGTAGAGTAGAGTAGAGCATGGACGGGCATAGTAGAGTAGAGCATGGTAGGGTAGAGTTGGGTAGAGTAGAGTAGAGTCGAGTATAACAGAGTAGAGTGGAGCATAATCGAGTGGAGTAGAGCAGTGTAGAGTCAAACAGAGTAGAGTGGGGGATGGTATATCAGAGTAGAGTAGGAGTACAGTCGAGTAGGCGTAGAGTAGAGTAAGAGTAGAGTCAAGTGAGCCGGGCTGAGCGAGCCAGGACTCCCCGTATTCCCACCGTCCTTCTCACAATTTGAGAACCATTTTTGCCACAGTTTGGCATCGGGATTGGAACGCACTCCTGCCTCGCAAACGGAAGGCGCTCTCGCGCGGCCCAGTTTCCGACGATTTGGCCAAGAGAAAATTTCGCGAGCCGCGCAAGGGGCGGGAGCGGCACGACTTCCGCTGGGCGCGGCAAAGACGAAGCATACGCCGCGCGGATACCGCACTGCCACTTTCGCTGACCAACTGCGCGGCGCTTGGGCGAGGTCGGCATCTCGCCCGCTCTCGCGCGGCCCCGCTGCCGCTACCGTCGTGGTGCGCTTCGGCGAACGGACCATGCGCCGCCTCCGCGCTGAAACGCCACTTCCGAACGACATGCGCACTGAACGTCGGCGAGGGCGACAAGACGCCCACTCGCGCGGGCCCCCCCAAAGGGGGCGAGTGGCAACGATGCGCCGCGGCAGGGCGGGAGCGCGATCCTCACGCGAGATCGGTGCGGCGCCGGGGCGAGCACGACATTTTTTGTCCGCCTGCGCGTCGACGAGCACGCGTGCGAAAACAGCGCGCCGCGCCCATGCGCGAGCTCAGCTCTTCGAGTGAGCGCTGCGCCAAAGGAAAGAGCTAACGAGTTGGGTCTGTGCGGCGGGGTGTGCGCCCCGTCCCGTTCTTGCCGCGCGTTTTGCGGCATGGACGACATACGAACGTCCATGCTCAAAACGAGCGACGGTGATGTTGTATAGTCTTTGTTGTCAGGTGGGATGGGGCCGCCCAAGTGGAGTTGCTATCGGCCGTCTTCGTGGCAGAGTTGGAGCGTATTCCAATATGGAATAGGGATCGGGTAGGGTAGAGCAGAGAAGGGTCGAATAGAGTAGGGTAGAGTAGAGCGAAGCAGAGCAGAGAGCAGAGCAGAGTAGGGTAGATGATATATTATAATCGGGTAGGGTAGAGTAGAGTAGAACAAACTGGAGTGGAGTAGAGTCCACTCCAGTCCAGTCCAGTTAACTTCAGTACTTTCTGACTCTCAGTCCACTCCAGTCCATTTCGTGTCAGTCTTCTGATATGTTTGGGTTCTGCGCTGGCTGATTTTTGATACATTGTATCCTTCGGTCTGGGAGCTGAAGCACCGACAATAAGCGACGTCGTGTGCGACACTGCCTTGTTTGGGCCTTCTCGGCCCCTGGCCCTTCCCTTGGGGCCCCCCGCATCTCGGCGGCACAGACTTCTAGCTATAGCACCGCCTCCCCTCCCCCATGATCTGGACCCAGGGGGTCCATGGGACCCAATGGGCTAAGTGGTCTAGGCTCTTGCACGAGCAGGCGTGCGAGAGACCTAGCACGCGCGTGTATGATCTGAACCTCCACCGACCTCCTCCACCTTCATTCCCCAGCCTCGCCCTCCTGTCTCCGCCCGCGCTTCCTAGCCGCCAGGGCCCTGGCGAGTCTGAGCAGTTTGTTCTGTGAGTCGGCCGTTCAGGGATTAAGGTGTTGGGGTTGCGGATCGCAATGGGCCCATTGTTTTGTCGGCCCGTTGGCATTTGCCGATTGTTCTCGAACCACATTTTGGGAGGTGAGATCT